ATTCTTAATAGAATGCTCCCGGGATTCCTCCGAATGCTCCCTGGGTCCTTCCTCCGTGCCCTCCCCAGGGCCTTCCTCAGATCTCTCCCCAGCACCCACTCTTACAAACAATATCATTGATATTGGGGTGCCGTGCAAGAGACCTCATTGTAATGGGAAAAATGTCTCCAATATTGGGGTGCCCTCCAGGAGACCTAACAGCAACCCCGGGAAAAAGATTTTTGATGTTGGGGTGCCATGTAAGAGGCCTAATCGTAACAACCCTGGGAGCACAAAGTTAGGGATGCCCAGGCCCTCAGTCTTTGACATAGGGTCCCTAGTGTACACAAGTCATCATCAAAAGCTGAAAATTCAACGCCACCAGTGTCTGAACATTGAAACCAGGATATAGTGGAAAAGGAGGGCTTGTTTTCAGCATCGGTGCACCATCTGTGACAAAGAAACCAAAAGAGAGCACAGAGACAAATGTCTTTGACCTGGGTATACCAATCTTCAAGTAGATAATAGCATTGCTATATGTAAATATATGCCTAAAGATGTCTCATGGATGCCTCAAATCCATCTGGACCTTAGAGGGCAGAATTATCAAGATTTAATAATAGCTTAGATATCTATTAAGAGTGGAGGTAAGACCACACTGCATCTCAGTAATCTGTTGCACTCTTCACCACTCATCATCCTGTCACCCAACTGGGTTGTCTAAAATGGCCTGGCTGTAACAACCAAGAGTTAGTTACTCTGGCGCACACAAAAACACACTATAAAGGTAGTGATGGGGGAGTGGTTACCCCTTAAGCTGCAGAGAGTTTGTTTGTATACAACAGGAGGACTCACTGAGGAGTCTCCTGATCTATTGGGGTATTTATACTAATACAGAGTGTTTGTACCTATGTAGTGTACAGTTGATAAAAGCAGGGGCTGATGATGTCAGAGGGCGCAGCCCGTGTGACCAGCTCCACTGCATGAGAGAGTTTGAGTCTAAAAGAAGAATAAAGGCAGCGCTGCGCGAGAAGGTGGAGTTAGAACAAAAAAGGAAAGTGCCGCATGGCGTGGAGTGTGAACTATAGTAAAAAGGTTAAAGCGGAGAATGAAAATTAAAGGAAAGGTCCGAAAATTGTGTTATCGTAACACTACCCCCCTTCTAAGGCTCGACTTCCAGGCGAGACCAAATACCGGAGGTGGTAGTTAAATTTTTGGGCATAGGTTGAAAAAGGGAATTAAAAAGTTTTGAGTCCATGCCTCTAAGCTTCCTAGGAGCCGAGGGGTTTTTAGAATAAAATTTGCTAACAGTGTCGCGGGAATTGTCCAGATGGGTTTCTGGTTCCCATGTTCTGTCCCCGTCTCCATAGGCCTTCCATAGGACTAGAATTCTAGTTTTCCACGCTTCAAGTGTGTGTCCATCACCCGTTCGACTTTGAACTCTTCTTCACCTTCCTGGGTGACTACAACTGGTCCAGGCCGGTCTATGCGCTGTCCCAGCAGCGGCCCTTTGTAAGGTTTCACACGGCTAATATTGACCGTGGGTACTACCTTCATTTGTTTTGGGAGTTCCAGCTCCACCGCATTAGGTTTGACTTCCTTAATCCGGTAAGGACCAATCCACTTTTTGGTCAGTTTTCTAGACTGCCGATCTTTTAATTTTAAGTGGTCAGTATCTGACCAGACCAGGTCGCCAACCTTGTAGTCAGGGGCCTTAGAGCATCTACTCTCTGCCCTGTTTTTCATCTGCTCTGCAGTTTTAAATAGTGCCTTGCGCGTTTTGTCCAGGACAAACTTCATGTTTTTGGCCATGCTCCCAGCAGCCTCGTTCTTGCTTTTACCAGGTTCTACACCCATTCTGGGGAGGTACAATCTAGTAACCTCGAATGGTGCCTTTCCTGTAGCTGACGACTGTTTGATATTATAAGAGAACTGGGCTATCTTTAGCCACCTGGCCCAATCTGTCTGCCTGTCATTAATAAATATCTGGAGATATTGTTTCAACTGCTGGTTGAGTCTCTCTGTTTGTCCATCAGTCTGCAGATGGAACACTGTTGATAATTTAGGTTTGATGCCCAGCATCCGGCATAATTATTTTGTAAATTCGCTAGCAAATTGAGGTCCTCTATCGGAAATAACCGTTTCTGGTAATCCATGGATAGACCATACAAAGTCTTTAAATAAATCTGCCGTACCAGCGGCGGTAATGGTTTTGTTGGTGGGAATGAATACTACTTCCTTGGAGAAACGATCTACTACCACCATTACTGAATCATACCCATTCGACTCGGGCAGATCTGTTGTGAAATCAACCAATATATCCTGCCAGGGACCAGCTGGTATTGGATTCGGCATAAGTTTACCAGCCGGCGGTTGATGAGAATTCTTAGCCATAGCACATCTCAGACAGGATTTTACGTATTCCTGTATGTCTTTGACCATGCCAGGCCACATATAGTTTCTGGAGATCAACTCCATTGTTCGTTGCCACCCAGGGTGCCCAGCCACTGGAGTGTCATGATGTCTATCTATTGCCTTGATCCTTGCAGACTCAGGCACATAGATTTTGTTTTTAAAATGGAAGAGCCCGTCTTCCCATAAATAGTTTTCATTGCCATCAAGGTGCGCTTTCTCTTCTGTGGAGATGTCTTTCTTGAAGACTTCCAGAAGATTGGAATCCTGCCCAATTCTAACATTGGCAACCCTTGATTGGTCTATCAGGGTAACACCTTTGTTGTCATCTTTGATGCTGTTGGCATGATCCTCTCTTCTGGACAAAGCGTCCGCTTTCCCCATAGAGCTTCCAGGCTTATGAATTAATTTATAATTAAACCTTGACAAATATACAGCATAGCGGGCCTGTCTTCGGTTCAAGTCTCGGGCCGTCATAAAATACTCCAGATTCTTATGATCGGTCCAAATTTCAAATTGGTGTCTAGCACCTTCTAAGTAGTGCCGCCAGTGCTCTAAGGCTCTAATGATGGCCAGCATCTCTTTGTCGTAAATTTGATAGTTGCGCTCCGTAGGTGACAAACTATGCAATAAATAGGCACAAGGCCTCCAAAGATCGTCAGGGCATTTGATTGACAAAACAGCCCCAGTAGCAAAATCAGAAGAGTCAGTTTCTAGCCGGAACTCCTTGTCTAATTCTGGAAATGCTAATATGGGCACTGTTGTAAATGCCTGTTTAAGCTTATCAGAAGCTTCTCGTTCTTTGGCGCCCCAGTGCCAAATGATATCCTTTTTAGTGAGATCGTTCAACAGTCTCGTGATTTTTGCGAAGTTTTTGATAAACCTTCGGTAGAAATTTCCTAAGCCAAGGAAGGCCCTAACTCCTTTTACGCGAGTAGGTTCTGGCCAGTCCAATATGGCTTGAACTTTCTCAGGATCCATCCTGATTCTGTTCTGGCCTATGATCATACCGAGGAAGTCTACTTCCTTCACTTTAAAATTACATTTTTCGGGTTTGACAAATAGGTCCCGTTCCCGTAAGCGTCAAAGGACTTTTTGCATGATCCTGTCATGCCCAGCCTCATCATCCGACTTCGTAAATATCAACAAATCGTCAATGTAAATGATAACACAGTTTTCCATATCCGCAAAGATTTCATTTATCATGCTCTGGAAGGTTGCCGGTGAGTTGGTTAACCCAAAGAACATAATGAGGGGTTCGAAGGATCCTCGGTGGCACATGAACGCGGCCTTCCAAGCATCTTCTTCTTTGATCCGTACATTATTGTACCCCCATCTGAGATCCATCTTTGTTAAGATTTTGGCACCAGCCAATTTGTCTACTAGCTGACTGATCAAAGGCAGCGGATACGCATTTTTAACCGTGTGCTCATTCACGTAACAATAATCCATAATCATGCACTTCTTATTATCCTTTTTAGGAATGAAGAACATTGGGGACGTCATAGGGCTTTTGGAAGGTCTGATGTAACCCTTCCTAAGCTGTTCATCTATGAAACTTGAGACCTCATCTCTTTCTGGAGCAGAGAGGGGAATCATGTGTCCTTTTCTCGGTTTGAAAGTGTCCTTCAAATCTATTGCATGGTCCCAAGGCTTAGCCTCTGGGAAGCGCTCTGATTTATGTTTTGAAAAGACTTTCCAGAAGTCATGGTACTCGGGAGGTACCAGCCTCTTAATCTCTTCTTCGGGTTTTACCTCATCATTGTCATTGTCAATCTTTTCTAAAGATCTGAGCTCATAAACGTGACCAGCGTTTATCTTTTCAAGACGCTCATTGTGACGGACGTGATTTGGCCTACCCAAGTTCACACACTCCTGAGGGCAATGTGACAATGTGACAACCCCTGTCTGCCAGTCAATATCAGGATTGTGTTTAAATAGCCAGGTCCAGCCCAAGATTAAATTAATCTTCCCTATTTGGGTAGCTTCGGCAGTGACTCGTTCCCTGTGTCCTTGGTACTCGACAACAAAGGAACATTTGTGTGAGATACAGCCACCTGCGTTAAGTGTACTGTCAACGTTATAGGCGGGAATAGATACATCTAATTTTACAAGGGGGAGTCCAATCTGCTCTGCCCAGACCTGATCTATGAAGATTCCGTTAGCGCCTGAATCAAGCAGCGCACTAGTTGGGTGTACTATGCCCCAGGCAAAGTTTTCCACACCAACGTCTAAACGGATCTCCTTTTGGAATATATATGTGCGCATCAACACACACCTTGGGATTTTGGGAAAGGGTGGCTCTAACGAAGAGGAAGAGGTATTGAAAGTTACATGTTTTTGTATTTTATTTTTACCAGAATCAAGCACCCTATTGTTTGTCTCGCCGGGGCCACACTCCAAGGGAGACGCTGGTGCAGCGGTAGTATCATAAATATTACAGTCACAATGCTTCATACAAATACATATTTCAGATAAATTTAGAAATCTATTTACAAATTGGGGAGCCACCCCTTTCTTTCCATTATTGCTCGTGCAACACCCCGGAGCAGGGGCCACTTTGTTGTGGTTTACTTCATTGTTTTGTGGAGCAAAGGTACCCAAGTGACCTAAGCTCCGAATTCTTTTCCCTGAGCCTTCATTTCAGCGGCCTGCTGATCGTAGAAGAAGGCCCGGATCTCGTCGTAAGAACGACCGGCCAAAGAATGGAGCCGATCGTCCGGTTTCTTGGTTTCTAATTGGCACGCTTGGTTATTTTTTTGTTGGGCGGCCTGCGCCCCATTTCTGCAATCTCAGGACATGTGTCCCTCTTGGCCGCAATTGTAGTAGTTCCCTTTGAATCTGTGCATCTGTCCGCCCTGGACCGTGCTGATATCCATAGGGGCTCCCTGCCCTGGTTGCAGCCCAAACGGCTTGAACCCGTGAGAGTGATTATGATGGTTTGATGACCCAGGGCGCCTCTGGGATTCATTGTTTTTGGTGGTGGACCCGCCACCAAATTGCATATCGTAGAGCTCTATGGCCCTACCAATTTTTCGAACCTCCTCAGCAGCTGCTGCAAGGTTCTTGCTCCACATATCTTGTATGTAGAGCTGTCGGGCAATGGCTGGTGACACATTGCGCTCCAACAACTCCACTGCATATTCATTCCCTAGACCCCCTTGGATGGAGAGGGCCAGGAACCAGGTTACGAAATCATCCGTCCTCATGAGTCCGGGTGCCCAGTGGGACTTTTTGCACAACATGCAAGAGAGTAGAAGAGCGAGTCCTAATGTAACAACCAGGAGTTAGTTACTCTGGTGCACACAAGAACACACTATAAAGGTAGTGATGAGGGAGTGGTTACCCCTTAGGCTGCAAAGAGTTTGTTGGTTAACAACAGGAGGACTCGCTGAGGAGTCTCCTTGATCTATTGGGGTATTTATACTAATACAGAGTGTTTGTACCTATGTAGTGTACAGTTGATAAAAGCAGGGGCTGATGATGTCAGAGGGCGCAGCCCGTGTGACCAGCTCCACTGCATGAGAGAGTTTGAGTCTAAAAGAAGAATAAAGGCAGCGCTGCGCGAGAAGGTGGAGTTAGAACAAAAAAGGAAAGTGCCGCATGGCGTGGAGTGTGAACTATAGTAAAAAGGTTAAAGCGGAGAATGAAAATCAAAGGAAAGGTCCGAAAATTGTGTTATCGTAACATCTCCTTGAGACCACCGCCTGAAATCATTGAAAGAGTAGACAAATACAAAGTAGAAAGTATAGTCGCATCTAGACAAACTACAAGGTGCTAAACACAAATACTTGGTTCACTGGCATGGTTATCTGGTCTCAGAGTGTACTTGGGAACCCAACACCAATCTTACCCACGTCTCCAATTTCCACTTTCCATAAAACACATTCTGCTGCCCCTCACATCATCACCGCTTCACTTCATTTCCGTCCCTATGAAAATTACACCGCAACTTCTAAATCTCCGATGCTTTTTGATTGGATTACCAACAAGTTCCAAAGTGCCGCTTCCAGACTCATGAGGACACGAGTCTTATAAAAAGGGAGCTAATGTGAGGAATTGATTTTTCCCATCGCATTCCCATCATGTCATGGCTATCTAACTCATTCCCTGTCACTCCTCTTGCCCTTGGACTAAAGATCACAGCTGGTATCTTATTACTCTTATCTTTTTTCTTCTTATTCTCCATTCATACTCACATCCTATTGTACTTACAGCAAAGGAGAATCGTTGTAGACCCTTGAGAAGATATCCAAATGACATAGCAATGATCCAATGCTATGTCCGGGAATACTTCAGAGGGATATTAATCAGCAATGTAGGCTGTGACTCAGTGTCTTGTCATGGGCTTACTGATACAGCCAATTGTACATCTCTTACCAAGACTCTCTCTCACATGATTAGTAAATACAATTGATCGGACCACTTTCTCTTTCTTTTCTGATTGGTTAGTTGTTTGGTCAGACCACTTTCTTACTCTCTCTCTTTTCCAGTCTGACCCTCACTGTTCATTATATAAGGAGTCCATACTTGATGTATTATTCCTTAGTTCAATATTAGTTTGGATTTGTGCCTATACCGATACTCTTCAATCTCAATACCCTGATCCATCGCCTTCTGCAAGGACTTGGCCAGGCATTTAACGTTGTTATATAGCTTTGTATTTGTTACCTGACAGATATGTCTTCTGTACACTATAGTGTCAATTGAAGTATGGTAACATTGCACCATATGACATAGAGATGTCTTCCATGTACCATACCATTGATTAAAGTATGGTGTTATTGCACCATCTCACTCTGAGATGTCCTCCACATACCATACTGTTGATTGAGGTATGGCGTTATTACACCATATTGCATAGAGATGTCCTCCACATACCATACCATCAATTCAGGTATGGTGATATCCCACCATCTCACTTTGAGATATCCTCCACATACCATACCATCAATTGAGGTATGGTGTTATTGCACCATATTGCATAGGGATGTCCTCCATGTACCATATCAGTTCATCCAAGTATTGTGCTATAAAATCATATTACAGTGTATGTCTTGAATGAACCATACCAATTTTGAAAATATGGTGATATTTCACCATATGGTAATCTGCCCCTGCACCATATCAATCTAGTTCAGGATGGCATTACACAGCTATATATCCCATATAATATGCATATAATATGGATGAATCAATAACTATTTACTGGAATATGGTGATATCCCACCATTTTACGGGATATCATACCTGGACCATATTTTGAAATATTTTGCACAGTAGTATCTTAATGTTTACAGTGGTTATGGGATGTCCGAGTCTGTACCATAGCCAGCACGAGAATGTCAGCATACAAGGTGGGCTGATGTTCGGTCAAAGCTACATATTGACTCAGCAAAATCTTTTCATTTAAACTTGGGGAATGACCGACCAAATATCACTCATGAAGTTTGTTATATCCCCAACTCCAAAGACTATTCACCTTTAAATTTTCTGGTGAGTAACGCCAAAAGACTGGAAGATATACCACGGACCTTGGTATTTGTAAATACTGTAAAAAACTCACAGGCTGCACACCGGCATCTCAGGAAACTCTTACCTGAGAGTTTACAGGCTCTAGTCAACTTCTTGAATTCACGACATTCTGTGCGCACCAAGAAGACTGTCTTGCAAAGATTTTGTGAAGCAACAACCAGATTGTTGGTTGTAACAGAGATTGGTGGGATGGTAAGGTGAAAAAAGCATTAGTTGAACAACCGCTTAGAATGTTTGTGTAGGGTTTGGACATACCTGACATTGAATTGGTAATCCAGTTTGGAGTGCCCAAATCCCTCACCAATTGGATGCAGAGAGCTGGTTGGGCAGCACGGCTCCATTCAATGCAAGATCGAGCCATTTTGCTTGTCAAGGCCTCAGTGCTCTGTAAGGTAGGCGTTAGTGTGGTGGTCAAAGAAGAACCTTTGTCAGATGGAGAGTGTGTAGTTGAAGGAGGGAAAAAAACCGACCTGGAGCTTGAAACACCAGAAGAAGACCTACAGTTCAAGAAAAAAATTGAGGCATCCTTGCGTGAATGGATCGAAACAAAAGGTTGTCGAAGGCTTGTTGCTAATAGGCATTTTGACAACCCACCAGGACAATCAGGTAAGGCAAGCTGTGCCGGCTATCACTTACACCTATTTACGCCCATTAGCTCCGACAGGTCCTTGCTGCGATAACTGTGAGAAGATGCACTCAGATACACCCCCATCCTCATCTCCCAACAGTCCCATCAGTATACATACAGAACTGTCTGATGACACACCCAGCACAGCTATCAATGAAACAGGCAAAAGACCCATGCACACCATAACTCAAGAACCTGTGCGACGAATATTACAGCACTTGAGCTGTGCCAAGGCTGCACTCCAGCATTGGCGTGCTCAAGTCCGACGCCGTGACTTCTTATACCGTTCATTCACAGGTGATGTCCTTATCCCTGACCCCACATTGACGTCCCTTGCTTCAAACCGCCGGTGGAAATCACTTGAAGAGATTTGTGAGGTCCTGCCTGCACCTTGGGCACTTGTGGATCGATATGGGGAGGAAGCTTTGAAGGTGTTAGCTGATGTAGATCATCAGGACAAGGAGCTGCGGGAAGCAGCCAAGATATAGAAGCGAGAGTTGAAGAGGCAGGAGGAGGTCAGGACGGAGGAGGATGCAAGAGTCATCAAGACGAAGAGCAAGGATGATACAAGGGCTATCCAAAAAAAGCCTCGCACAAGTCAGAAGGAAAATGTACCCCTTCCAGGGTTCTCTCAGTAAGTTGTTGATTCTTCGAGTGTAAAGGTTGTGCATAGCCTCATGTATCTGTTAGATTTCAGGCCAAGCTTGACCCTCTTGTCCCACAGACACCCTCACTGCAAACCGGCCCTTGTTTATACACCAACTGGCCTGTAGATAGACTGCCAGTGCACATTGCTGATCCATCCCCCTTCACGCTAAATGACTATAACTACACTGTTCCATACACCGCACACTCCCCATTCACTCCCATTTCCCTTCGTAAGTCACAAGCGAGGAGGCCTTAGGTGTAATACTGAAGTCCTTAGCATAATGTTATGTAGTCATAGTCGCACATAATATATATTTCATTTTTCTGCCTACACAGTGAAAATAACCAGCCTACCAAGTCTCCTCCATAGATCGCTTGTAATCACGGTTGTACCACCAGTTCGACATTGTTTTGAGGGTGACAATGTTGAGTGCACCATTAGTAACAACATCTGGAATGATATCTGCTTTGGTTTTAGCTGTACAACCCTCTACTTCAATGTAAACCTGTGAGCTTGTGTGGGCATCATGCAGACGCTCAAGGTCCTTCCCTTTGCTAGGATCTGTATGGGAGATGCCTCGTCAGAGGGGTTGGATTTGTGTCTCCAAGTGTTTTCAGACAGCTCGAAGTGTTGGCAGTGCAGGTGCTCGATCTTTCATGAGATCCCAAGTAGCATGAACACCATGCACAGCAAATGTCACCTGAAAAAACTGTGTAATTGAAACACCTGCATAGAATAGAAATACTGACCTTACTTTCTTTGATGTTGTGCTCCTGGCCTTTGTCTATAGCAAAGAATTGGTGTGGCAGGCCAATGGTGTTCATTAGCCAGCATCTGTCTTGTATAAACTGCCTGTGTGCCTGTCAGTGCGCTGTCAATTCTGTTATAGTTGAGCAACTTACTTGACTTGGGGGGGCCATTCATGATGAATACATTGAAGAAGTTCGAATATTCCAATTGTATACTTTGAGTTACCCCTCCTGCGAAGCGAAAGAGTAGGTGAGGTAGTGATTGTTCCATAACTCCAACATCTCCACTCTCGATGGCATCATGGAGGTCCAAATACCTCAACATGTCACAGTTCCACATCACAAATTGATGGAATACCTGATCTTGCTTCTCAGCTGGCTGTAGTTTGATGTCGTTGAGTACATCTGTTGATGACAACTGTTGAATGATTGATTCAGCCATTTGTTGTAATTCAGCTGGATTTTTACTTCGCAGCTCTGCTAAGCTATCAACCCCTCCAATTACCTACCAACAAGTCCAAATATAAGCCTCGGCAACATGAGTGATAGTGTCATGTAAGTTTTGATAAAACGGACCCTTGGTCTGTACATAGTTCAGTCCTTTGCGTTCCAGCAATGTGAATGCATGCATTAATCCACAACCAGCTGTAGTTCCAAGGTATTGCTTATGGAGTGAATTGGTGAAGGCCATATGTAAGTGGAACCAGCCAAACACTGGGATGATCCAATCCATTTGGTCAAAAGCATTATGATCCTGGGCACGAAACTTGTACAGGCCACGGAGGCGCTCAATAGTGAGCTGGTCACCCACCCATGGAATGACACACTCCATGCCAGTTCGGCATTGTTCTTCGTCAGAATGCAGCCCAAGCTGCTTAAACCATTCTGTCAATAGTTTATCATTCCCTTCATAACTTGCTTCTTCGATATGGACTGTCCCGAGCATGTACTGTTGTGTAACATATGCTTGGCCAGAAGGAAATTGTTGAATTGGCAGAGGAGGGGTGAACACCAGATCATCTCGGTGTGAATAGGTTGCAAAGTTGAATTCAGGACATTCAATCAAATACCGTAAAACACGGAATGTGTCTCAAACATGTCTTGAAGGTGCCGCTTCACATTCCAATGCAAAAATTTCAGATGTACTTAGGGGAGTTAGACAACCAGCTGCACAGTATTCCTGTAGTGTACGATTACACAGAGGAGCAATAGGTGGAGCATCTGGTTGGAAATATATAGTTGCTGCAGTCCCAGAGTCAAAATGGCTTTGGTTGTCGATACACTGTGAATATACATGAAATGGGATGTTAAGGTTGTCATGGGATATGACAAATGGGTGGGATTTGACAAGGTGTCAAACCTTGTCCATTTGGTTGGAAGAAATAGACTTGAATGCACGCACTGACCAGCAATGACTCATTATAATGCCAATTGAGCGAAGGAGGTTGAGGCTTTTAGCAGAAATGCCCTGAGAGCGAAGGAAGGTGGTGAGAAGCTTTGGCCACCTATTATGATGATGCGAGCGGGAAAACATTAGCTGAAAAATGATCGAGATGATCACCTAGGCAGAATGAGAAAAGAAAGACATATAGAGACTGTAAAAGCACTCACGAGATCTGTATTTTGCCCAAGGTTTAATTTCTCTTGTGTAGGGGTTCTTGTTAGTCGCTGAAGGAGCTCCCACAGCTTGGGTGTGCCTCCAAAGCCAGGACTCTGGAGTTGAGGACCAAGTCGTCAATTAGCAGGCTGGTAAGACCCTCTTCACTGACATTTTCGGGCGGGCACTTTGCTAACTCCTGTATGCTGTAACAACCAAGAGTTAGTTACTCTGGCGCACACAGAAAACACTATAAGGAAGATGATGAGGGAGTGGTTACCCTTTGAGCTGCAGAGAGTTTGTTGGTTAACAACAGGAGGAGTCTCCTGAATCTATTGGAGTTTATATACTACTACAGGGTTGTTTGTACATGTGTACTATACAGTTGATAAAGACAGTGGCTGATGATGTCATGGGGCCTAGCCCGCATGGCTAGCTCCACTGTGTGAGAGAGTTTGTGTCCAAAATAAGAAGAAAGGCAACGCGGCGCGAGAAAGGGGAAGTGCCACGTTGTCATGCACCAAAGTTGATTGGTAGCATGGACAGGTGTCAATAATGAAGTGAATATTCAAAAGACTCACCTTTGCGCCACACAGGCACAGTGCCACGTGGAATAGTAATTAATATTGCCCTTTTTGAACTTGTGGCTGATCAGCACCACCTCTATTAGGCAATCCAGTCACGCTCACCTTTGCTTTTCCATTCGGTACTTTCCGCGTTTCGGCATTTCGGCAAATTTTCGCGTTGCCACTGGCTACACATTGCATTGCGCCCTCGCTTTTGTCGTTTCCCTTACTCCCCTTCCTTTGCCTAGCCCCACCATGGGCCCCTTCCTCTCCTTTTTATTCTCACCTGACGGTCGTTTCTGGATCCCCATTCTAATCCACTTTTCCGTCACCTCCACCCTCCTCCTCCTCATTTTATTTGCACCCCCACCATTTCTGATGTCACCACTTCCTATCCGCTTCCGTCGCCGATCCGTTGACTACCACGTGCCACTGCTGATATCAGCAAAGCCCCGGCGGCCGGTTCAAATAGGGCAACAGGTCCATCTTTATGACGTCGATCTACCATCATATACTATCAAAACATCGGTCGCTCGTCTTGCCTGGTTGGAGCGTGGGTGGGTAATTTTTGAGCTGGAGAAGGTTCATCCCCTTGCGTTGCCCATGTTCATCGCTGTCCCATTCACTTGGGTACACTTATCTTTTGTCCATCGTCTTCGCTACAGCTACACCTACCACACGCTGCCTGGGACTCACTTGTTCCAAATTGGAACTACTCCTCTCCCTCCCTTGTTTGATCAGGTGGTCCAACACAACCAGTCCATTGGTAAGGCCATGGAACTGTCGGATTTGGACTAGGTGGTGGACCGGTGGCTCCAGTTTCTTTTTTTCAGCAGAACATTCATTTACAGTGCGATTATTTTTGATTTTTGAATCATTTTTATGGACACATATTTTTTTAGAATGTCTGACTGACAATAAAGGAACTGTGTTGACTCTGATAGTGTTTTGCCTTGCCCTTTTTTTTTTACTGCATCTTCCCATGACATCATGATTTTCCTGCTCTCTTTTTGCTATTGGACTTTACTTTATGGCTGTATAAACCTGTGACATTACTCACAGCATTCATTGTTCTATCTCTTTCTTTTCCTTTTTTTGACAATCTTATCCTGTACTACCTACGCAGGATTCATCAGCATACATTCCTTCCTTCATGTTCTTTCTCATTCTTTTTGCACAGCTATACTGTGCATAGCCTACTTTTCTTTTACTATATAAACCCCTGTATTTTACCTTGTAAAAAAAAGAACAAGAAATCCAATCCAGACTTCTTCTCTACTCTCAAGTTCACTACTCTGCTACTTGTGATCCAGTGTGGTCACAACACTTCCCACTTCTACCACTGTCAACTGCTGTCATCGTCACTTCCCACTTTTGAAGTCATTGTCTTCCCTTTCGATTAGAGTCCTTCTGAGCACTACAGTTTGTGTGTCAGGAGCCTGCTATCACTGGGAACCTCGTCACCTTGTCATCCTCGTTGTTCTCAAACCTACCTTGTGCTACGATTAGCAAGGTAGTGCTCGTCTATACGCGCCACAAAGCACCTATCTTCCTATAAATTCAACTATCCCTCCTCCTCAAAACCCACACTCATACACCTCTGGGTTTTACTTTGAAGGATCTTTATATGTACCACCCCACGAACAACCAAACCACTCCACTGTTCTAGGAGGCAAAGCCCATAAACAAGTTCCGTGGAATCTGGGAGGATTGTGTGTTAGTTTGTTTTGTGTGTGGTTTTCTAACTGCAGTTCTCATCATCGACAACGTGGCACCATGTGTGAAAGTTAAAAATTAAAGCGGAGAATAAAAGTAAAGGGAAAGTCCAAAAATCGTGTTATTGTAACATATGCTATTTAATTCTCTTTCAATAGCTTCCCTAACACATGAGAAGGCAAACACCTCAAGTACATCCTTTCCCCCAGTTGCACGTGCATTGTGAGTGCCCTTGGTCCGGGGTGGTTTATGCCAGCGGGCCAGTATCACTGGAAGCTCATCACTTACCATGAGAGCTGTCCTTTCATAGCGGTGTCAGGCAACGAATACGAAGCTATATAATAAAATACAATGCCTGGTCAAGTCCTTGCTGGAAGGCGGTGAATCAGGGTATGAGCTTTGAAGAGTATCAGTATAGGCGCAAATCCAAACTAATATTGAACTAAAGAACAATACATCAAGTATGTACTTCTTTATATAGTGAATGGCGAGGGTCAGACCGAGAAAGGGAAGAATTAAGAAAGTGGTCTGACTAACTGACTAACCAATAAGAAAAAAAAGAGAAAGTGGTCCGATCTATCGTATTTACTAATCGTATGAGAAAATGTATTGGTAAGGGGTGTGCAATTGGCTGTATCAGTAAGCCCATGAGAAGGCGCTGAGTCACAACCTTCTTCGCTTATCAATATCCCTCCAAAATATTCCCAAACATAGCACTGGATCGTTGCTATGCCATTTGGATATCTTCTCGAGGGTCTACAACAGGTCTCCTTCGTTGTAAGTATGATAGAATGTGAGTGTGAATAGAGAATAAGAAGAAAAAGGATAAAAGTAATAAGATACCGGCTGTGATCTCTAGTCCAAGAGCAAGGGGAGTGACAGGGATTGAGTCTGTTAACCACAACATGACGGGAATGCGATAAGAAAAATTGATTCCTCACACATACTTTCTTACAATTGAGTACGACATCTTAACTATGTCCTCCCAGCTTGGTTGTAATTTTGCAAACATTTCCAACGTTGTTCACTCATATTTACAGCTCCGAGCTTCCTCTTTCCAACAGTCAAGCATTGAAGCTGAAAGATCATGATGAATGACATCATGCATGCGTTGGAACCCAGGTTTACTGATCATTCTCCCAGTTTCATCCGGTCGAAGAATCCCTACGCTCTGAAATAGACTATTTTCATCATCACGGCCAGGTTTTGGGAGGAGGTATGTTCTCACAAAGGGTCGGCACATGCCATTTTGTAGTGAAATAATCCAGGCATGAAGACCACATATTGGAAGCGGTTTTGAGGTGTTCCTTCAATTCTCCTTGTGTCTTTGACTGAATCAATATGTTCCTTTGTCAATAGATCTCCATGCACAAGGATGACATATTCAGACATGTCAGCATCAAGTTCCAGTACAAAGTGCTTGTCACTTTTGTCACCAATGCCGCCTTGCCTGAGTAAGTTATCCAAAACCTCTATATTCCCATCCGGAGTTGACTGTTTGATATTCATTGCTCGACAAGGTATCTGATTCATTTTGTGGACTGGTATTTTGTCTATTATATCCGGCTCTCTAAGAAGACTGGAAAAATGGCCAAAGGATGTACATTGATTCACAAGGATGCTTCTGACATGCCATGCAAATGCTTCAGAGCGGGGGCTGAGTTTGTTGGGATGCAATTGTTTGTTGTAAGTGTCCTTTTTGTGATACTGGAGCATACTTCTAATCTCTTTGAATGGAGATGTTGCAGCAGGATTTCTGGAATCACGCTGCCACAATTCAGCTGAACAACGCAAAGCAGCTGGATCTGATACACCAAATAGTGGGATGACGGTGGCAGAGGTAGCACTGACAAACCTTGAGCTGTGCTCAATGGTTGGTTGTGCCGTCTTGAAGTCCATATCAAAGTTGTCATATGCAAATGCTGAGCACATAGACTGCACTTCTTTTTTTATCTTTACAGATATCTCCTTTGAAATTGATGAAACTGCATGATGTATAGATGTTAGGCTGACGGATAATCCAGCATGGGCCAACACTTCAACCACTTTCTCCGGAACTCCAGTTGAATGGCAAAACAAGCCAAGGATAGCCTGTAAGTAGTTGCACCTCTCGTTTGAATTGTGTAGCATGATACTAATGCACACAACAGTTTTCTGTGGATCAGGTTAGTTGGCTAGTGAGTATGCAAGCAAGTATACTAACAATCATTCCCAATGCAGTGTTCCTTGTGGCCGCTCTTCTCCACCTCTTCTTCAGTGTCTCCTGGTCACCTCCTTCATCCTCATCACCGCCAAGTTCTCCCATGAAGTTGTCTCCATCTGCAAGAGTTGGTGGTGTCCTATTCTTGGGGTTGCAGGTTCTCGAGCCTTTCTCCGGTTTTGTGGGCTCTCCATGATAGAGCTGATAATAGCCCAAAGGTTTGTTGCAACACTACTCATTTTAGTAGCCAGCTGTTGCATAAATGCTCCCTCTAGCTGCTCTGCTGTGGCCGATATAGTCTTGAACTGCAAACCATGGCATTCACGGCCAAGTTCCTCAACCTCCCTACACAACACACCTGTCACCAGTGTGAATGACCAGGAGAGCACTGGCTGTCGAGAATTTGTGTGGTTATACAGGTAAGCACATATTCTTGCACCATCCCTCTCTAGAGATTCACGGGCTAACTTGGTACTGGTTTCAGTACTCTCCAGAATTCCCTGGATCAGCTTGGATACTGAGAATCTGTTTTCTTCTATGCACTGTAGGACAGCACTCAGACGATGAGTGTTACTCATAGTAGATGAATATAATGTAAAAATATATTTCAACTCAGTAGCTTTATAGCTTATGAAATGGTGCAACATTGATACATTGTTGGAACATTGTGTTCAAGTGTACTACTCCTACTCTTCTGTCCAAGAAAAGAAAAAGACGGTCACATTTCTGTTTTTGACTTTAGCCGACCGAAAGATGTCGGATTCGGTGGCAATCTTCGGTGGTGCAAATAAACCAAAATCTGGTGCCACTACAAGTTTTGCCAGTCGGCCATATGTGTTATGCTCAACTCAAGTTTCGGTAAAGTCTCGGATAATTATATAATCAAATTATCTAATCACAAGCACTGGGATATAGCATATACACATATGTCGACTGGTTTGGAGCCTGGTTATGTTCAAGATCAGTGCCACCAACAGACTTGATACGACTTGAAAAGCACCTTGTCCGAAGAATACAACGATGATCGCTATACACTATACAAGGTCAAGCAGACGTGTGCAATGTCTTTTATCTCCCTTGAAAATGCCACAGAACGTTGATTAGTGCGCTGGGGAATCATGAATATTGCTTTAGCTGATTCATTTATGATATATATTCAACAGACTCAAAATCAAGTACATGCAATAGTTGCACGAGTCATGGGAGATACGTCTAGTATGGCCGCATCAGCTGGTCCACAATGTTTCGCATACCCTGGATTCCTGATTGCTCCATGGCCCTTACCATAAGGTGTAAAGACGTGGATGGTAGCCGCTTTATATTTTTAGATACAGGAGTCATACAATATGGAGGCTTAATTAAAGCTATTACTTTCAAAGAGCATGCCAGTACGTCCTTGTTGCTATTGTGTAGAATATATTTCTCTGCTGAGCGATTTGTAAAAAAAGGATCTAACATGTCATTTGGGTACTAATGGAGAATATGTAATGTACCTATAAAAACCCAGAGATGTTGAAGGTAAGTTCAATTTTTTTTCTCTCATCACACCCATCTGACTTATAACCCAGCACGCACTGTGCTAAGAAACACACATTTGAATCTGACGACGAATCGAACTTTATAATCCGAAAGAAACAGTCGTGGACACAGGTCATAAAGAGGTATTGTCTATTGAGCCTACAACATGAAAACAAGGCAAGGCCCTCAAGCTGAGAATGACGTGCTGCTAAACAGAACATGGCGATGACTTCTGCCCCAGGGAAAGGGAAAATGCTGTCACTGCTGGAGCAGCTGGCTGCGGCAACTTATTTGGCAGAGAACGATGAAAGCATCCGGTTACTGACGAACGTCCTTTTGGAGGCGAAAGCAGTGAAAAAAAGCAGTTCAACGTGCACGATTCAAAGACGTCACCAGAATTCCATCAATGGCATGATAGAACATTCATGGGCATGGAACTGCAGTGATTTTTTCGCTGGAGTATCTACTGGGAGCAATAGAATAGCTGGCCGTCGGCTGTGTTATCACTAGCACGATATTGGTGAGTGTACACCCAATCCTTGGTTACTCTCCACCTAATCTGAGTAAAAAGCTATTGTCTTTGCCCTAGCATGCCGCTTTTGTCACTGCTTGTTGTCTGTATTTATCTCAACGTCTAGCTGTGCTTTGCCTCACAACCATTCGATGCTATTTCTTATATAGTATGTCAAGTCTTTCTTTCCCTCTGTGTTTATTGTCAACCCACTCATTTTTATACTCCCAACAGATTCTCGCTATATTACTTGATGTATCACCATGAGGACCTATTATTCGTGAATATCATTGTACAAGCCATGTATCCTTTACAAATTCCACCTCGTCAGGCATTACACCCTTCTCAAGTCCGAAAACTAAATCTCCCATGAAGTGCACCCGCGCCTTCTCGTGGTAGAATGTAAGTCACCCACCCAATCCTATGCTCGTCGTCATGAGTGCTTTCCTACGAAACCCAAAACACGAGTATGCCGTTCGTACGTCGTAGTCTTTCTTCACAGCAAAACACGAGTCAAGCTTCTGAGTGGGCGCGGTGGCGTCGACATAACGTGAAAAATGTGAAGTGTGAACTGATCCAACCAAAGGCGCAGTATGTCGGGACTTGACGGTGGGTCTTCAAGGAGTATTCGCGCTTTTTACTCCGCCGATTTTAGTGAATCGCGCCCTCAAAGGTCCAGTTGCGCAGTTTGGACGTCTACCAAAGAACAGCGTACAACGAGGCTGGTGGCTCTGCGACGGTGGTTTTCTTCGTGCTTCTAGTGAAAGCTTGGAATATTTAAAGGGACATTGACGAGGATGGATAAGAAAAAACAAACACATCACTATCAATCCCTCGCATCAGCTTAAAGCATCACTTTATCAACCCGACAATATGAGCTCACCAAACCAGCAGACCCGAGTCAGCAGCGAAAACGAATCCTTTTCCGTACAAGGAGAGGACAGAGTTGAGCGAGAAGGCCATATATCCCATGCTGTCCTGGCACCATCTGTGGTTTATCTTGAAGAGAAAACACACATGGAGCCTTACATTGGAACCGAATCCAGCCATGCACTCGAGCAGATTCAATCCGGCATAGGGGCATCTGCTTCTATTTCGTCAGTTCAAATATCGCCAGTGGACAATGGACCAGGAGAAGGCACAGCTCTCATGGAGCCATCCGTCGGCGAGAGGGATCGACAAAGGAACAATCTTCGTATGCGAGGAATCCGACAACAGCTCAAAGACCAGAAGGACAGGATCAAAAGGCTCATCCCACGTCGTACAGGCCGCGCACTCTTCAGTAGCGAGCTTCAACTCTGGACTGCAGGTACGAATGCTCCGACTTGCCTCTCCCCGCAGAGATGACTGATGAATTATTTTTTTGACAGCGGCTGAATACATTGAGTACCTGCAAGCCGAAAACGTCAGGTTGAAGGAACAGGCCAAAATTCAGGCAGCAGCTCCAATTTCAGACAAAATGCTCACCGGAAATGCCAGCACCAGCTTCACTGGCCTACCAGAGGTGCCATACACGCCCTGGGAGCCTGTCCCTAGCGAAAGATATCTAAACATGTCAAATAATGCTGGGCCATCAGTTTCTATGCCGAGGAACGACAATGTATTTCCTACAAGAGCGCCAACGATGACGTCGAACCCAGACTGGAGCTCATTTTTGGCAAGCTACAACCCAGGAATGGTCTCCTCCCAAGTTCCAGCCCAGAGCACTTCAATGGAAGGAATGGGAGTCCAATGGCCACCAATTGTAGCTGCTTCAGCACAAGGAAACATGGACTCGCAGTTTTTCAGTTCTGCGTCTGATCTTGTCTGGGATCCAGTGATGCTGAATCACCGAAATGATGACTTTGTTAGAAAACGCGAGTCGACAAAGACAAGCGTCGTACGAAGGGAAAGTATGGCGCAGGACACCATACTAGGAAAGTGTAGTGGTAGGATGGCCCGTGCGTTTTGATGGGGCAATTTACCCCCTTAGTTATACTTCCGTTCGAGTTTAAAAACCTTCGTAGCAACGATTGCCCCACCTCAGAGCTTCGCCCACGAAGTCTGAGGTGAGGATCTTATACCTTCCTTATTTTATGTGATATACTTACTCTGTACCTAGCATTTGGTTTATATTAGGTACGCGAATACATTCTCAGAGCTTCGCCCACGAAGTCTGAGCATTTGGTTTATATTAGATCTCTTTGAGACTTGGCTCCCTGGAACGAAACACTTGGACAGCGCACGCGGACAGATGTTCACGGAACATACAAAGCCAACCACGGAGTCGGACGCACAGGAGCTCAGCTCCAGACCTATGGCTCAGCTGAGGGGATGAGCAGTAATTCCGCAAACAGCGGAATGCAAGACTATCGCTTCGTATTCGAGCAGCATCCAGGTCACGAAGGAAATCATCTTTTTAGATGAAGAATGGAGCTGCCAGACGGAATAGCACACAATGTGCTAACTGACACCCTTGGATCACGAAAGAAAGCATCACTAACGACGCACCCAAGATACAGTCTCGAGTCTCGACGGCTCCTGTCAACTTGCGTAGAAGTTAGAAAGGGGGGGCTTGGAGGAAGTGATCGTGGATAGGACTGAATTCGTGGACAGGGACTCGTAGTTATCAAACGAGAGCATCTTGATGCTGTTTTTATAGAACTTGCGGAATCCGATTGCTCTGGTTATCTGGTTATCACCTCACACGTTTTTATCCACAAACAAAGGGTGTGTAAGTTTTTCAGGATATGTCAGATCGATGAAAAGACTACGCGACATCGTGCCTTTCGTATATCAGAAAAATTACAAGAAGAAGGGAGAGAAACGACTCAGCGACTCCGCTGAGACAATAACGCACAAACGAACTTGAAGACGACCCAAATCAGGGTCGCTTACTCAGCTGCGCCAGCTATCAGCCACATCACTCTCGCACCTTGCCGTCGCCAACACGCTCAATTGTTCATGTTCAGGTTTTCAAGTCACCGAGCTGCTTGTACTATCAGGATCACAACGCGGCTCGCCGTGTAACTTCCAACGTATTGCGTCAAATGCCCCACATCGTTCTCCGATATGTTTGATGAGTCCACATTCCTATCAATCCCAAAATATTCAACGAGGCATCAAGTGAGAACTGTCAGGCAAAGCATGTGCATCAATGTGTACCGCTCAAGAAATATGTAATAGGCCGAAGTAAAACAAAGCAACTGGATTACAAGGCTGTCGAAATGACAACTTACGCGCTTGAAAAGCATAGCTAGGACTCCATTGACAGTAAGTTACCCTGAGATGCAGGCTCACTCATGGTAGTGGAACTGCGAGCACTCTTTAGCTGGCGTTGCCATGCCTAGTAAGAGCAATACCATAGCCGCATCAGTGCTATCAACGATATACGCAAATGTACGCCTGATTCTTCTTTTTGGTTGTTAACTGCCTAATTCTGACTGGAAAGCTGTTGTCTTGTTCCCCAGAAGGCGACGTTCGCTACCCCTTGTGCGTCTGTCGGTTCACGGTATCCATCTCGACTTTTAGCAGTGCCTTATCTAGCCCATCTCATACAACACCTCGTCCTATAAATCTCTCGTGCGCTCTTCACTTTAATGTCAGGCTACTAGTTCTATACTTACAGCAGACTCGCATTATCAAAATGTTCATCACAAGTATGATTCTTGGAAATTGAAAGTGCCATCTCTAAGACATCGCATTCTATCCAAGTCCGCCACTTCTTCCATGAAGTGCACCCGCGCTTCCTCCCGGTGGAATGGAAGCCATTCCACCCATTCCTATGCTCATCGTCACTAAAGCCCCCTGCGGAATCAATCGTGCAAGACATGCCGCTCGTACAGCTCAGAGTCTTTCTACACAGCAAAACATGAGTCTACCTTCTCTGTGGGCGCGATGGCGTCAAAGTCCAGTGAAAAGTGTGAAGTGATTCCCATTTAACGATATGGCGCAGCATTTTGGGCCTTGACAGCGTTCTTTCAAGGAATATTGATGCTTGTTTCACTGTCAAAGCTAGGTTATGACGCCCCCGAAGGTCCAAGTCGCCGCAGCAATGACGTCTACTTGAGAACGATGTACAGCGACGTTCGTGGCTCTGCTGTGGCAGTTTTTCGCGCCTCAAGTGGGAGCTTGGAGGATTTAAAGGGACATCAGCGAGGGGGAGAGACAAGAACTACACCCAACACAATACCCAGATCAACTCGCAGCACTATCATCCCACCCCCATCATGAGCTCATCCAAAGAACAGTCCCAAGTCGACAGAGCTACCATGCGCGAATCGTACTCTGGAGAAGGAGAGGAACGAATTGAACAAGGGGGCCAAACATCCCATACTGTGCTGGCACCATCTGTGTTTTATCACATTGAAAAAACACAAACTGAGCCTGACAGTGGGATCCAATCTGGCCCACTAATCCAAAACATTCGCTCGGAGAGGCATGTGTATTCTACAGGCTTCTCGGCTGAAGAAACCCCGACGATCGATGAAACGACACAAGGTGCCATCCGTAGAGGACGACCCATCAGCAAGAAGGAGCGAGAGAATAACACCATTCGCATGCGGAAACAGCGACAGCTAATCAGAGAACAAAAGGATAAGATCAAAAGTCTTATTCCGCGTCCCCAAGGTCACGCACCTCCCACTAGGGATCTTCACCTCTGGACTGAAGGTACGGATGTGTTGGCTAAAAGCGTCTCCTAGAGATGACTGACAATTTTTTCTTCAGTGGCCGATCATATCGAGGATCTGGTAGGCGAAAACATCAGATTGAAGAGAAAAACTGGGTATATGGCACCAGCCCAAAGTCCCGATATCTTCGTAGCAGATGACTCACAAGCGATGGTCGTCAATGGGCCCAGCAACACGACTACTACCCTCTCTGAGTCAATGCAAATGCCCCACTTGCAATGGGAGGACCCTATTCGTAGTGACATGGGAACAGAGTTGTCCCCAGTCGCTGGTCCATCCAGTCTAGCGATAACCAGCGAAACAGTCAATGTAGGGGCAACCACGATAACTCCTCCTCCAGACTGGAGCACATTCTGGGAAAACTATCATCCAGAACCGCTTTCGACTCCCATCCCAAGCGTCCATGCGCAGCAGACAGTACTACAGTGGCCTGAACCCGTGGCAGATCCGGTACAGGCGGACTTGGACTTGGAATACTTCAATTCCGGACCTAATCCTGTCTGGGATCCCCTTACGTCTGGAGAAGATTACTTTGCAAAGTCGCTCGAACAGCACATGCAGACAGATGTCCAAGGACCTAACATACCCAACCACGAAATCGGCTTCACAGGGCCTCAATTCCAGACCAATGGCTCGACAGAGGGGTTGAGCAGTAGTTCCGAGGACGTCGGAATGCAAGACTATCTCTTTGCATTATTTGCGCAGCGGTAAAATCCTCAAGCCATGCGTTCAGATAAGCAATGAAACTGCAAGGCAGACCAGGGCTTGATGTGCCAGCAGATACTCGAAAGTGTCAAAGGACAAAGCATCGTTGATGACGTACCTGATACTATGTCAGATGCCAATGGATTCTGCGGACTGGCCGCGCAGGTAGAAGTGGGAAAGTAAGGCAGTGGGACAGCGAGGAGGAGTTAGTACTTGGAAATTGGTTAACGGACAGGAATTAGTTGTCAAGAGCGAGCCCATCTTCTTGTTTATATATCTTCTGCGGAATCCCATTGTTCTGATTATCCGATCACCAGCTTGCAAGATTTTATCCAAAAACAAAAGGGTACTGAAATTTGACATATCAATGATAGGAACACGCGCCAACATGCTTGTCATATATCAGAAAAAAAGCAAGAAGAATAGCGACTCAGCGACTCCGCTATTATGAACCGTGGACAATAACGCAAACGAACTTGAAGACTACCCATATTAGGGTAGCTTGGTAAGCTATCCCAACGACTAGCCAAATTGGCCTGCTGCCGCCGACAGACTGATCATTTTCCTCATCAACTACATGATCCGGATTCGTCAAGTCATGTCCACAACAATGCCATTTTTGACTGAATCATCATATAACCATCGCTCTCCGGGCAGTCCTGGACCCAGTTTTTTGTCTTCGTATTTGCAGATCCCAGTCATACGTAGAAATTTACAAATAGTAATAGTGTCAAGAAAATTTCTCACTGTTTCAAATGTACAATATATGATGAACTCGCAATGCTCATCACCTGACCGACAATCAATATTTCTAGACTTCGGAAATGTCAAACAGGGTTATCTGGCTTTGTCACCATATTTTGCTCTTCTGTTCGTGCCCTACTTAATCTCCTCAGTCAAACCAAATTACTGATATGATAGTTAATATCAGTAAACAAGCCTACTGCAGTTTTCAAATCTGAACGGAAGAGCAACATATGATTTACTGCTAGTCTTGTGCCGTTAACTTCATCACAAGATCAAGCACCCCAAACAAACCCACTTCACAGTTACATCTTTGGGAGAGATAAAAAATGAATATACCTTTGTGTTGGTAGAGTTGAGAAGCAATAGATTTCAGAAATTGGAAGGTACTGCAGCAACCTAATAGTGAAAAGATGGTAAATGTACTTGTCTGCGATTATAGTTTGACAATACCCCAAAGTGCCTTTCTGAGTAGAGTTGGATGAATCCAAGTTTAGAGGGCTTCCAGCATCATCTTTGCGATGTGATACATTTACTGTAGCCCAAAATAGGTTTAATGCTCTTCATCATCTTGGTACTTGACTGGATGCCGAACATCTCCTAGAGCCGATATGGTGGCATCTCCAAAACGCTCTGCATGACTTCGAGAATTGAGAAGTGCAATAAATGAGTTCACGTAGACTACAGTTATGTTAGTATGAATAAATTTCTGGGAGAAAATGCGTACGTTTAGAGAGTGAAAAGTCGATTGCCATATAGATAAAATTGTTTGGCATTACTGCACACTGCCCAAAATGTTGTAACAGACTATAACAAGACTGAGATACAGTTGCACGTACTGTAATAATCACAGCCAGGGAGCAGAGGCTGTTGGGTGAGAATCCATTATTTAATTACTATGAGATCACTATGACGGGGATGTCCCTATGAAGATATGAGGTTCACCCTGTTAAACAACCAGAACCGTACATATAAATGACTATTCTTTTTATTGTTGTGTCCGTTCTATACCAATATGGCATGAGGGAACGAATAGATGAGGAAGAGATTAGGGAGCAAGTAAATAATATACTCACTTTGAGAATCCAGTTCGTGATAAAGCCAGGAGATAGCACATGGATGTCGCAAGGAGGAAGTCATTGGAGGCGAGCACAGAAAGCACAGCTATGGGCTCCCACTAATCACAACGATGCACGCATATCACAAGTGATAATTCAGGCGGCGGGTAGAAATGTGTGGAATGTTTACAATCGGTTAGGAACAACAGATATTTCTGTAGTTAAAGGCACCTACTATCACCATCCGAAAATCACTGTATAAGTGGCACTGAATCCTGGATGTAAAAATCTATAGTCAGCGGGCCGAGATAGCTGAGACGTGATCAAGGGGAAAAGAACTGTGGTAAAACCATACTCCAAGAAGCGAGGAACTGACGTCTTATAACATAAAACTTCAAAGAGTCACTGTTATTCTGGGATGTGTCATATGAATTGCTTGAGATGTTCTTACATATGCCCAGTCCTAAGAAAATAGAACCAGTGTCAAAAACGCGCCGCAGAAATAATACATTATGAGCAATACCTAAGTCAAGAGCTATGATGACAACCTATCATCATGATGATGTGTGAGGATGGACTGAGTAGCCGGACATATGCACATACTTGTATCAAACAAAGGATACGGTTCCATCCCTTCCCCACTATCATTGACGAATGTAATCAGGAATCAATTTGACGAATAAAAACTTACAAATCCAGAGACGATGGGCATATAGACTAGTATCCCTCAGTGCTTGCCCTGTTCAAGTATTCTGTGAAGACGTACCAGTGAACAGAGGCTATGATAATCACCTATAGTACGCTTGCGTTGTGAGGAGAATATACAGTATCTAATACAAACAAGTTTGACTAACGGTTATTACAATCTGCGCCTGTACCAAATGTACCAAATGAATCAAGACGGTAAAAAAGGGTAATTTGTGACAAGGTAGATTTACCTTGAAACTCCAAACTATTACCAAGAGTGCAAGAGGATTTGCGAAGTTTGTTATGAGGTGGTAGTATAACATGTGCGAGATACAAGCAACATGAATTGTATCGAGCAACCTGTAAAATAAGGCATCATCATTGGCATTGTTGCAGCATACCACGAGAAAAACCCACCAAAGCAATACAACCTTGAGGTTGGTCTATGTTGGCTTCAAGTTGCAGTACTGGCCAAGTTAAACATACCATTATTCTGTAAACTACTGGATCCTGTTTCCATTGAGTTTGAAGATATAATGCAAGTTGTAAATTTGTGAAGCCATAAAGGCTGCAGTTGCATGCATACATAAGCGCTGCACAAGAAAGTCGTAGTAATTGCCACTCACATAGCAGCGAGCAAAAGACCAATGTAAAAGGCACCAAATGAGTCGTTAAGACTGGGTAACAGCTGGGGAATGGCTGACAGTTCACTATAAATATCTGACATTATGAGCAGAGGTGTTTGAAGACTTGACACTTGTGGTAATTTAGAGTAAAAAACAATCAATTCAGATTCCACTAAGTTTATATCATCTGCGGAGAGCCTTTGCTTACCCTAACTGGTGAAGAAAAGCAACACACAGCAACGTGTGGACAAGCATAGAGGCAGTCTATTCACACTCATATTCTATTGTACTTACAACGAAGGAGACCTATTGTAGACCCTCGAGAAGATATCCAAATGACATAGTAACGATCCAGTGCTATGTCTGGGAATACTTTGGAGGGATATTGATAAGCGAAGAAGGTTGTGACTCAGCGCCTTCTCATGGGCTTACTGATACAGCCAATCGCACACCCCTTACCAATACATTTTCTCATACGATTAGTAAATACGATAGATCGGACCACTTTCTCTTTCTTTTATTATTGGTTAGTCAGTTAGTCAGACCACTTTCTTAATTCTTCCCTTTCTCGGTCTGACCCTCGCCGTTCACTATATAAAGAAGTACATACTCGATGTATTGTTCTTTAGTTCAATATTAGTTTGGATTTGCGCCTATACCGACACTCTTCAAAGCTCATACCCTGATTCACCGCCTTCCAGCAAGGACTTGACCAGGCATTGTATTTTGTTATATAGCTTCGTATTCGTTGCCTGACAGAAGATTGAACTCACCTACCTTCAAATCCTTTTCCAGAGCCACACTTTGGAAAACTGTTTCCCTACAATCTGAAAAAGACTGTCGTTGCCACTGCACCAGTCTAAACCTTCATCATCACCTTCTCCACATCTCTACCATCCCTATCCCTCTCCTTACTATCGTCATTGACCTCTTACTATCCACACCACTACACCTATTGTTGTTCAGTCCTCTCAAACTGGACGTCTTATCTACCATCACCGCTCTTGTCCAATTCTTTGCAGTTTTTGCCATCATCAGATACCTTCAAACCGGACTTGTTAGCGACGTCGTATACCTTCACCGTGTCTACATCCCAACAGCACTCAGAAGAGTGGGTATCAGACGCGGACCACAGACACCAGAGAGATTTCCTCGCAGCCCTCAACAAGCCGCTCCCGGTCCTCCCCGTCCCTACCAAAGTCCGTACTCCAGACGCGGAAGAAACGGTTGAACGGATCACTGAATTATATCAAGACTCCTCTGCTTCGTCTTCTCCAATTGATCTGATCGAGGAAATCATCCTCGACATAAATGACGCCCTTGTCCTCACCCAGTCTATTTTTTATCATTCCGCCATCTGTAGGAGAAATTCTCGGAGCCCCGAGGAGGTACTCCAATGTCTCAGACAAAGCACGGAGAGAACTTTTAATCTTCATATTCCTGCAGCACGGACAAATTCCGTTGATCGACTACTTCAAGAGTCTACTACGCCCAAGCTACGAGAATACTCAGAGGGTTAAGCTTTTGAAGGGAGTAGCCAACGTTCAGGAATGAAACCTGCATCTTATTTCACAGGACCATATCCCAGATCTCCTTGAACTTTATTGAATCCGTCCTCTTTCATTCCTGGACATACCCAGCCGCCTCCTCCCCTACGACTTCAAACACACCTTGCTTTGCGGCATTGTTCTAAGGAAGAGGCCTCACGAAGAACCCACCTATGATATCCCATCCTCATTTTTTTACAACAGATTACTATGACACCTACTCCGCCTCTCCTGTCCATTACCAACCAATCCAATACTTTTGTATCAGCAATCACCTTGACAACCTTTCCATTATCCAATATCTGACACGACTTCGCCGAACACTCTACCTCCCCGAAGTTGAAGATCTTGACGCATTTGGACCACGGTTTGGTCTTCAACACAGTACTTCTATCGTAATTGTCACACCCTCTACCAAAGATCATATTCGACAAGTTGTCGCTGCGTTAGCACAATTTGATCAGCTCATTGCAACCGCTCAGAGGAAATTCCGTGACGGGGAAGATTACACAACCAAAATCAACAATATCCAATACGTTTCAGAATATGTCGAGCAATATTATTGGATCTTAGAAATCCTCACACCATTCATCGTCAATCAGCAATCTGATCATCCCGAACGCTTCATCATTACAGTTATCCAAAGCGACTTCTGGGCCATTGTTAATCATACCCCACGAACTTGTATCTATTCACAATACTCATACACCTACCAAGGTCGTAGAGGGGAAGCATCACTCATTCTGTCGGTTGAGCAGCTTTTCGCACCTTGCGCGGAAAGGATTGAACAAGAAACAGGAAGTTCATTAGAGGATATAGTTGGAGGAGAATCAGACGAAGGGACTGAGTCAGAAAACAAAGGGTCTACTGAAAGCATAGAGTACTGGAGGCCTCAGGAAGCAGAAGGAGGAGATTTCCCTAGTAACTTTGTATTTGACCCGGACTTTGATTAAAAAACTCGTTATCTAAGACTCGTTATCTAACTCATCAAAAAGCTGGAGCCTTATCAAGAACCCCGCCCTCTTGTCACTCCCAAAACACCACCCCCACAATCTCTAGGAGCTGCCGCGGAAGCCCTAGAACCGGACGATCTCTATCAATCCGCAGGACCGGAAGACTTTCCTCCCCCACCTTAGAACCCATCACCCGAAAACGACTGGTCCGATCAAGAGTCTTTGGACCTTGAACCTGACTTAGCAGCAGGAATGACCGACGAAACAAGTCCAGGCAGCAAGGCTGTCCTTGCCTCTCCTCCGTTCGAATTCATTGGCAAAAAAGAAACGTACATTGACTGGAAGAACGCATTAGCGAACTACTTTTTCGCTTATCCCAAAAGTTTCCAAACCGACTCCTCTAAAATCCTCTTCGCATTATCCTGCATCTCGTCCGATAAAGGCAATGACGCCTGTCACACATGGAAGGCAAATTTCAACAACAAAACTGCAGTGCTAGGAGACCTATTTGCACCACAAATTGGGGGACTATCTCGGAATTCATCAAGGAATTAGATAACAAATTCCTGGATCCCCATCTCAAGTTGAAACCGGAAATTGCCCTTCATAGCTACGAGCAGCGAGAGATGATGGTAGACGCCTACTTTGGAGGACTCAAATCCAAACTTATGGAAGCAGGGTTACCACCAGATGCATATGAAAGTTATCCGTTCATTCACAGTATCCTTTGCCGCAATCTCTCTCAATTTCTTTGTGATCATATCTCGCAGCAGGAAAACCTACCCACCATGTACTTAGAGTGGAAGGCAGCAGCTGGGAAATGGGAACAACAAAACGAAGAACTCAATCTGGAAAGGAAGAGAGATAAACCCCCACAACAGAGGCTGCCACCCCAGTACCAAAGATATCAACCGCGTTATCAACAGAACCAACACTACCCGCCACCGCAGCATCAACAAACAGTACCGCGTACAGAGACGCAGAGACCACGGTATATCCAACAATGACCGTATTATACTCCATCTCAGAGGCCGCCGCCCCAGAATGCAGTCCATCCAAACACAGCAGGAACATTTGGAGGATCAGGTGTACCTATGGAGATTGGGAGTTCCAACACTCAAAGACAATATTGGCCCAACCTGAACATTATTTGTTACAATTGTGGTGAGCAAGGCCACATTGCTAGAAATTGCCCACATGGAAAGATGGCAATACATTATATGGAAACGGAGGAAACCAGAGACACTCCCACTACATTGTTATTAAAAGGAATTGAAGCGCCTCCAAAGGATTTTCAGAAAGGTCAGGAGTGAGCACGGACTCTCTGACCCGTAATGTTGTACCTAAAACTCGTATGATACCAACGACTGCAATAAAACGAGTCGATCAACATCTACGTGCTGTAACCAAAAACTATGCGAAGCCACATTCACCGGAATGGTTGGCCAGACGAATCAAAGACCAGAAACCGGAAAGAGCAAGAGCTCTGTTACGAAACTGGGCACATAAAGATCACTACGAGCATATCACCCTGCAAGCGATACAGATGCTAAAGAATCACGACGAAGAGAATATTGTGGAACACATCCATGCTTATACCTTGCCACACAACCCCATGCCAAAACGAAGCCTCCATGTCATTTCTCAAGTTACTACCACAGACAATAGACAAACATTCACTGTACCAACCCTTATCAACTCCGGTTGCACCAACTCTGTTATTGATCAAAGCCTGATTGACAAGTACACCCTCAATACCACGCCACTGCCCATCCCTCTTGACGCTGCAGGAGCCGATGGTCGATCCCAGAAAGTAACGCGCTATGTCACCCTTCACATCAATGTGAAAGGGAAAGAACATTTAATGGACATCATTGTAGTGTCACTACTTTTGCCGCGCATACTACTTGGATACGACTGGTTGATACTTACTAATCCGTCAATTGATTGGCGGGCCAACAAGATTACCTTCCCTGCCGATGATCCGGAGTATCATCCTAAAGAAGGGGATAAAATCCTAGCCATCGATCTTGAAACACAATCCATGGAGATAACACAGTTAGAATTGAACGCTTTTGCCACTAAAAGTCAACAAATAGCTGAATCCACTGAAAAAGCAAAGTCAAAACTCACCTTCCGAGATGTTGTTCCCCCGATCTACCATGAGTTTGAACCCGTTTTCACCAAAGAATCATTCGACAAACTTCCCCCAAAATGTCCTTGGGACCACGCAATTGAGTTAGTACCTGAGGCTAATGGTCTTGACTGCAAAACGTACCCTCTTAGCCGAGACGAACAACACCATTTAGACGAATTCCTTAACAAAAACCTGACAAGTGGACAAATTCGAGTGTCCAAATCACCCTACGCATCCCTATTCTTCTTTAACAAAAAGAAAGATGGTTCACTACGCCCTGTTCAAGACTATCGCAAGCTGAATGAGCTTACCATAAAGAATTGCTACACCCTCCCCCTCATATCCGAACTCATCAATAAACTCAAAGGTGCCAACTACTTCACAAAACTAGACGTACGATGGGGATACAACAATGTCCGAATCCAAGAAGGAGACAAACACAAGGCCGCTTTCAGGACCAATCGCAGCCTCTTTGAACCCCTTGTTATGTTTTTTGGACTTACCAACTCGCCAGCGACCTTCCAGACGATGATGGACCACCTCCTAAGAGAACTGATCACGGAAGGAAAAGTTATCGTATATTTAGACGATATCATGATCTTCACAGAAACACTCGAGGAACATCACCAAATAGTCACCAAAGTCCTCCGTATCCTGCAACAAAACCAGTTGTATCTTAAACCGGAAAAATGCGAATCCGAGAAGCAGGAAGTCGAGTACTTAGGCATGATCATTTCCAGAGACACTATCCGTATGGATCCATTAAAAGTCGTAGCAGTCGCTGACTGGCCCGCACCAAAGAACAAAAGAGAACTCCAATTGTTCCTGGGATTCTCCAACTTCTATTGACAATTTGTCAAAGACTACGGACAAATTGCGAAACCACTCACTGTGCTCACCGGAAAAGTTGACTGGACCTGGAAAGATGAACAAGAGACATCTTTTGAAAAATTAAAGAAAACGCTTACTACTGCTCCCACCCTTGCTATACCAAACGATGACGACCCGTTTAAACTAGAAACCGACGCCTCTGACTTCGCTGTAGGAGCCGTCCTGTCCCAAAAACAAAATGATAAATTCAGACCCATAGCATTCCTCTCGAAAGCTCTTACCCCCGCAGAACAAAATTATGAAATTTACGATAAAGAGATGCTCGCAGTCATGACGGCACTAGACGAATGGCAACACCACCTTGTAGGATTGAAACACCCCTTCACTATCTTCACAGATCACCAAAACCTCCTTTACTTCCGTCAACCTCAGAAATACAACCGACGTCAAGCTCAATGGTCGTCTCAGCTTGCAGATTATAATTTCAAAATGGAACACGTCAAAGGAAATCAAAATACAAAGGCTGACCTGTTAAGCAGACGAATCGATCTACCTAGAGGCACAAACAATAACGAGAATCAAACACTTCTCCCAGACGTACATTTTGAAGTACTTGACACCAACGAAGGATACCTACCAGATATACGTTGAAGCTTCCAGAAACAGGACAACATAGTAAAAAAAAACTTGAAAGAGAAGTCAGATACCTGGAAGGTGAAGGATAGGATTATCTGGATCAAGAGAGAATCCGCAATGAGTTCCTACCTGATCCCATTAGCTGACTGCGTATACGTTCCTCGAAACCACAAATTACGGGCGCGGATATTGAAGGATCACCATGACAAAGCTCTGGCTGGACACCCAGGAGAGAGAACAATGTTTGAATGAGTAAACCGAGAGCTCTGGTGGCCAAGTCTTCGTACAGATATCAGACAATACATACAAGGGTGTGAGAGTTGTCAATGCACCAAGGCACATTGGACAAAGCCTAACACCCCCCTACACCCAAACCCGATACCAGATCGGCCTTGGCAAATTATCATCACCGACCTCATAGGCGCACTACTGGAGTCCAAGGGCTACACCGCCGTTCAGGTCTTTGTTGACCGATTTAGCAAAATGGCCCATTTTGTCCCCACTTTCGTTACCCTCGACTCTGCTGGTTACGCACGTCAACTCCGAGATAATGTAATACGACTCCACAGAATCCCTGAAAAGATCATCTCGGATCGAGGTCCTCAATTTATGTCTCAATTTACTAAAGACTTCTATGATTTGATGGGGATAACACCGGGCCTCTCTACAGGCTATCACCCTCAAACAGACGGACAGTCCGAACGGATCAACCAGGATCTAGAGCATTACCTCCGCGTTTTCGTAAATCATCAACAAAATGATTGGGCAGACTGGCTATCCATCACTGAGTTTACATACAACAATCATCTCCACACTGCAACAAATCAAACACCTTTCTTTTTGAACTATGGACTACACCCAAGAACGAATACCACCACTGCATCATCCCCTCAATCCGCATTAGTGACAAAGTTTGGCGAACAGATGAAGAAACTCCACGACATCACGAAATCTTCCCTTCTCTTAGCAAACGATAATCTGAAAAAATATCACGACCGTAAGAAATCCCCATCCCGGGAATATCAAGTTGGCGATAAAGTCTGGTTAGAAGGGAACAACATCACGACGGATAGACCAATGAAGAAATTGGATGACAAACGCTTCGGGCCTTTTAAAATCACCCAAAAGGTTGGACCCTCCGCCTACCAACTTGACGTCCCAAAAAGCTGGAAGTCCATTCATCCAGTATTCGAATAAGCCATCCTCTCACCGTATCACGCTCCCGAATTCCCCAATCAACCAATTTCTTCACGACCCCCGCCCAAAATCATTGAAGGAGTAGACGAATACGAAGTAGAGAGTATAATTGCCTCCAGACAAACCAAACTGAAAGGCAGTAAACTCGACTACCTGGTTCACTGGCATGGTTATCCAGTCTCCGAACGCACTTGGGAACCCGACACCAATCTTACACATGTCCCTGACTTGCTCGCCACTTTCCACAAAATGAATCCCTCCGCCCCTCGCATCATCACCGCTTCTCTTCACTTCCGCCCTTACGAAAACTACACCACGACTTCTAAATCTCCAATGCTTTTTGATTGGATTACCAACAAGTTCCAGAGTGCCACATCTGGACTCATGAGGACATGAGTCTTATAAAAGGGGAGCTAATGTGAGGAATCAATTTTTCTTATCGCATTGTCATGTCGTGGTTAACAGACTTGATCCCTGTCACTCCCCTTGCTCTTGGACTAGAGATCACAGCCGGTATCTTATTACTTTTATCATTTTTCTTCTTATTCTCTATTCACACTCACGTTCTATTGTACTTACAACAAAGGAGACCTGTTGTAGACCCTCGAGAAGATATCCAAATGACATAGCAACAATCCAGTGCTATGTCAAAAAACCTCTTGCTGAGCAAGATCAGCGGTTTCAAAATCAAACCTTGCGGAATAGGGATGAGCTTCTTTATGCTGATCTCTCTCATGCAATGAATGCGGGGGATATAGAACGGGTTGAGGCTTCATTTTTACCTTGGATCTATTATTTTAAAGGAACAAGAAAGCATAAATATGCATCACAAATCATGCATTTTGCAATAAACCTTCGTTGTAATTATCCTGAGCCATTGCGGCAAGTCCTAGATTTGTGTATACATGAGCTGATTGTGATTGTCTCAATCTAGAAAAACCATTCAGATGAACTTACTTTGTAATCCAACTGGCAAAGCAAATAAATTCCGTGCTGTGGACTGGTTGGTTGAAAGAAACAATCTGTATACAAAGGTCAGTAACCAAAAGCTCACACGAGAACCACCTCAGAACACTGGTGTAGGTTATATATTCAGGTACAGGTCCAAATTGCACAATCAAGCATGTTATAAAAGAGTCACCTCTGATTGAAGTGTACCAAAACTGTCATATGACCATTAAAAATGCCTTCCACCTTCAACACTGCACAATTTGGCATACACCACCTGATATGACCAAGACAATTCAGAAACTGGCTGCACGGATCAGAGAAAAAAGTCCTCACTCATTCAAACAAGGCCGAGAGGCTATAGCCTCTATCACAGACAAGGTAGTGGATGGACTTGCATTGATGCATATGACAATATTAACAGATGATGACGAGACTGAGGATCACTTTGAGTTTGAGGCTGAGGACTTGTATGATGACTGACTTACTACATAAAAGTTCCTAATTAACTACTTGGCGCAGTATTTTCTGTGTTTTGTTTTGAACGTGGTTTAGTTGTGTACTTCGGACAAGAAAATTTTGAAGCTGTAAGAAATATTAGCGCCAAAGTCCGAAACAAAGGAAAGCAAACTCACCAATATGTCCAACCGCCCCGCACGAGCAGCATGTGTAAGCACATTTTTTCTTAGCGGATCCATTGGAGTCGGACAACGCAGCCTGTAAGTTATTGCTGATATTGGCTGTTGATAGAGCTGGTACAGGTGGTGGAAAGTGTGTATTGACAAGACCAATGATCTTGTCTCCATATAAGTCTGCATAGCACCAATTGGTTTGCTCACGAAGCGTTGTAACGTTGTTGATGATGAGAACTGTTGTTATAAAACCACACACAAAAACAAACTAACACACAATCCTCCCAGATTCCACGGAACTTGTTTATGGGCTTTGCCTCCTAGAACAGTGGGTGCTCTGGTTGTTTGTGGGGTGGTATGTATGAAGATCCTTCAAAGTAAAACCCAGAGATATATGGGTGTGGGTTTTGAGGAGGAGGGATAGTTGGAATATAGAAAGATAGGGGCTTTGTGGCGAGTATAGACGAGCACTACCTTGCTAATTGTAGCACAAGGTAGGTTTGAGAACGACAAGATGACGAGGTTCCCAGTGATAGCAGGCTCCTGACGCACAAACTGTAGTGTTCAGAAGGACTCTAATTGAAAGGGATGACAATGACTTCAAAAGTGGGAAGTGACGATGACAGCAGTTGACAGTGGTAGCAGTGGGAAGTGTTGTGACCACACTGGATCACAAGCAGCAGAGTAGTGAACTTGAAATTAGAGAAGAAGTCTGGAATTGAGTTCTTGTTGTTTTTACAAGGTAAAATACAGGGGTTTATATAGTAAAAGAAAAGTAGGCTATGCACAGTATAGCTGTGCAAAAAGAATGAGAAAGAACATGAAGGAAGGAATGTACGCTGACAAATCCTGTATAGGTAGTACAGGATAAGATTGTCAAAAAAGGAAAAGAAAGGGATAGAACAATGAATGCTGTGAGTAATGTCACAGGTTTGTACAGCCATAAAGTAAAGTCCAATAGCAAAAAGAGAGCAGGAAAATCATGATGTCATGGGAAGACGCAGTAAAAAAAGGGCAAGGCAAAACACTATCAGAGTCAACACAGTTCCTTTATTGTCAGTCAGACATTCTAAAAAAATATGTGTCCATAAAAATGATTCAAAAATCAAAAATAATCGCACTGTAAATGAATGTTCTGCTGAAAAAAAGAAACTGGAGCCACCGGTCCACCACCTAGTCCAAATCCGACAGTTCCATGGCCTTACCAATGGACTGGTTGTGTTGGACCACCTGATCAAACGAGGGAGGGAGAGGAGTAGTTCCAATTTGGAACAAGTGAGTCCCAGGCAGCGTGTGGTAGGTGTAGCTGTAGCGAAGACAATGGACAAAAGATAAGTGTACCCAAGTGAATGGGACAGTGATGAACATGGGCGACGCAAGGGGATGAACCTTCTCCAGCTCAAAAACTACCCACCCACGCTCCAACCAGGCAAGACGAGTGACCGATGTTTTGATAGTATATGATGGCAGATCGACGTCATGAAGATGGACCTGTTGCCCTATTTGGACCGGCCGCCGGGGCTTTGCTGATATCAGCAGTGGCACGTGGTAGTCAATGGATTGGCAATGGAAGCTGATAGGAAGTGGTGACATCAGAAATGGTGGGGGAGCAAAGGAGATGAGGAGGAGGAGGCTGGAGGTGACGAGGAGGTGAACTAAAATGGGGATCCAGAAACAACCATCGGGTGAGAATAAAAACAGGAGTAAGGGACCCATGGTGGGGCTAGGCAAAGGAAGGGAAGAAACAACAAAAGCAAGGGCGCAATGCAATGTGTAGCCAGTGGCGACGCAAAAATTTGCCGAAATGCCGAAACACGGAAAGTACCGAATGGAAAAGCAAAGGTGAGCGTGACTGGATTGCCTAATAGAGGTGGTGCTGATCAGCCACAAGTTTGAAAAAGGCAATATTAATTACTATTCCACGTGGCACTGTGCCTGTGTGGCGCAAAGGTGAGTCTTTTTGAATATTTGCTTCGTTATTGACACCTGTCCATGCTACCAATCAACTTTGGTGCATGACAACGGACGTGGAGGGATGAGAAGTGAATTGGTTAGAGTTGTGTTGGTAGAAGTTATGGTTATGTAGACAAGGTAAATGACGATGAATAGGATTAGGAGGGTGAAGGTTAGGATGATGGTGATAATTGTAGCTGCTGTTAATATCATAGACAGTGCTTTTGACTTTCAGCTGTTGATTGTGTGATAACCAGACCCTATACCGAGCTAACGGAGGTCTAGTCGTCTAATCGCAAGTAGGGTCTAACAATGTTGTATAAAGATTTAATCAACAGCTGGGGAATATGTACAAAAGGTAGCTGGTATATATACTACAGAACATGTGTTAACAATGAGGTGCTGACTGAGCGTCATGTGCAAGGCATAAGGCGCTTTGTAATTGTCTTTGTAAGTAACTACATCATATATCATGTGATTGATCACGTGACTATGATTAGATTAGATTTGGAGAAATAATAGATATGATTGAGTCATTATCAGTTGAGATAGGAGTGTCAGGATTAAGGGATCGTGACACAAATGGCCCAGGAGGAAGTGATCAGTGAGAGTGATGAAACAGAGGGAGAGGGGACTGACCAGGGCCTTTAACACAAATGCTTCACAGCAGGGGGCATGTTCTCTTTTGCCTGTCAATGTTATTAGTCGCTAATACCAGTCATATCATGAGGCCAGATATACGTACAATTAAATGTTTACCACCATGCTGCTTCAGCATGGTTTGCTCAGATGCTGTGGCAGCACATTTACATTTTGTAGCGTGTGATTGTACTGACTCAAAGTTTGAGGCCAATAGTGGTGTTTGCCACTCAAGGGATCTAATGGGTGAGTAATTCAGTATGAGCGAGGAGGCCAAGACAAGATCACTTACATATTTGTGGAGCTTTCTGGCCTACAGACGGCACTCTCCTGTTCAAGTTGGTAGCCAAGGGTTCTGCTGACAAATTATGACATTTGTTTATAGTATGAGAAAACATGCATTGGCCAGGGCTTGAACCTGGGACTCCAGCTTTCATGGTCTGGTGCTTTACCAACTAAGCTATCAAGGTGTACTTGGAAAGCATACTGATTGGTTGCATGCCCAGAAGGTCCAGAATCACTGTACACGGGTGCGGATCCCATTGTGTTGTGATAGCTGCTGCATAGTCGATCAGGTAAGATTGGAGGTATAGGCCTGAAGGCACGCACCTGCAACTCTCTGCTAACCCAGCCCTGATGACACCCATACATGCAGCCATACTCTCATTGGACTCTCCTGCCAGTTTTGACAAAACCAGATAAACCCGGTCTCTGCCGAAGCAGCCATTGTTCTCCATGGAGCATAGCCACCACTCCATGGAGTAACCATTGTTCTCCTAGGAGCACATTTGTACTCCTAGGAGTCATTATACTGTAGCGAGTAGCACCTCCGACTATAAGTAGTAGGGGGTTTAGTATAGAAATACCTCAGTCGTTTCTATAGCCTCTCGGGCAGCGGCTGAGGTATGTTACATTACATTTATTAGAGATCACCTTAAACTAACATCTATTGTAGTTTCACTTAGTTTTATTAGGTTATGAGCCCTGGTGCGCAAAAGCTACGCAGGAAATAATTCTTATTTGAAACGGCAACCTCGGAACCATGACCACAGCACGCGATACATCCGCATGTCCAGTTCTTACTGGACCCAACAATTTTCAGATATGGAAACTCCGGATCATCTCAAAGCTACGTTGGGAAAAATTTCTCCGGGTTGTTACTGGAGAGGAGCTTAAGCCCTCACCAGGAAAACCTACCTCCTCAGAGGATCCTGAAATCACCTGGATACTTAAGGATGAGAAGGCACATGGAATCATCCAGGACCACATCTCTGATGCCCTCCTAATGAGGACTGGACACCTCACCAGTTCCAAGGAGTTATTTGATAAACTTGTCTCACTCCATCAAATGTCCAACATTTCCTCGGCCTTCTATTCATTCCAGCAACTCACCAAATTGTCCTGGGATGGGACATCACCTATCCAGGACCACATTGCAAAAATCCGGACAATTGATTCACACCTCTCCGGAATGAAACTAGGAGTTGATACCAAACTCATGGCTTTCGCTCTTCTCCAATCTCTCCCATGCACTCCTGAATGGCAAATATTTCAGTCATCAGTAATCAACATGATTGAAGAAAATAAACTTACCTTTGATGCAGTTGAGATCCGGATCACTGCAGAAGTTGCACAACAGTCAGGGAAGGCCCCTGGAGGTTCCGAATCAGCACTCAAATCCGAGGAGAAATGGTGTAACTTCCACAAAGCCAAATCACACAACACCTTGGAGTGTTGAACACTTCAGTCAGCTGAAAAAGGTCAAAGGAAGAAGGGAAAGGAAAGACACAAGGATAAAGGAAAAGAGAAGGAAAAGGCAAATACAGCGGAGAAATCATCTGGATCTGACTCCGAGGAGGAACAGAGTCATATTGCATTGGAACATGTACATATTTCCAAGCCCCTTGCTAAACGCATTCAAGCTTACCTTGTGTTGGAACCCGATAAGACCAAAACAACAATTATTATTGACTCCGGAGCAACATCCCACATGGTCCCTCACCGCTCCTGGTTTGAGCCAGGAACATACCATGTTCTGCATCCTCCGAGGACAATCAGTTTTGGGGATGAATGCTCTGTAAATGCCATTAGAATTGGAACTGTAATCCTACAAGCAACTGTTGGCAATAAGGACTACAATATTGCACTGTCAAATGTCTTACTTGTGCCAAACTTCACGTTAGCACTCGTCTCTGTCCACAAATTGTCCAAAACGGGGTTATCAACACTTTTTCCAGCAGGGTCAAATGCTTGTGAAGT